TTAATATTGGCCGTAAAGTCGACCATATTGGTAAAAAAGAAACATTCTCATCTGGGTTATGGTACAGGTATAATATCGCCCCGGCACTCATGCACCCATGCAAACGAGTCTCGGTCTCGCATAGCTCGAAGTGAACAATAACAAAGATAGTTAGTGCCATTGTCTGTACAATCTATCAAAATTCCTATCACGCCATAATGAACAGCCCATTAGCTGGTCACGATCCTCGAACAGGGCGATTTTTTATCGACCATCGTTCGACCCATTCGACGTTCATACAGAAACTGCATTGCAATGATGCACTTCTACACACTCTCTTGATTATTTTTCTACAAACAATTGAGAGACAAATGAGATAATACGAGATTTGATCCTTATTTATAATATGAAGATGCCATGGAAGAAATTTTCTCCAATATTTATTTAGCATATCATCATTGTTGCATGAAAATGCTCTTCCAATCACATACATTTCTTTCAATTTGTTTTGTAAACAAATGCGTAGATGTTGAATCAGAAAATCATATTTAAAAATTATAATAATAATAATAATAATAGTGATTAACAACATAAATTTAAATTTAATGGAATCGAATTTGTAGCACAAATGGAGAAAATATATAAATAAAAAACTTTGGTACATTTGTTCTTTAAGCGAATAGAAGTGGCCCAAGATGTGAGCCTTGAGGTAGGTCCGATTATTAAAAGTATTCGTATGATGAATATCCATTGTAGAATACAAATTGCTGAACCATTTTGAAGGTAGGACCGTAAGAATTTTAGTAGAACAAGAGATAAACGAATGTCAACTAGAATTCCGTGATCCATTTTGTCAAAGGCCTTTGAAACATCGGTTATATGAGACGTCCGTTTGTCCATCAGTATCAACAACTTTAATTAACTGCTTGGTTATTGTAAGTACATTGTTCTTGGTTGATTTTTTGCTCATGAATTCATGCTGTGAAGGTGACATTGTGTTAAGAACAGAGGGATAGAGACGATTATAGAGAAACACCTAAAAATTTTGGAAAATTTTGACATAAAAGATTAGATCAGTTTTAATTTCAAAATAAAGTACTATTAGTGGATTGATTTTATTTGTTGCACTGTGTTAAGTTTTCTGCACTAATCGCATTTGATTTGTTCAGTGGTCTTCATAGTTCAGTGTAGATTCAAATAGTTGACACATACGTGAGTGTAGCGACAAGTATGACAGTTCGAATAGTGTCCAATGTGATACTAGTGCAACAAATAAAATCCATTATAAGGAATATCGTGTTATGTCAGGAGAGAAAATTTTCATAGAGACCTTGGAATGGAGTATGTCGACCAAAGAATCTAAAAATTTGCCAGTAGCCATGAAAGAAGATTACTAATATTGAAACCATCCAACTCCTCGATAACTACCACCACATAAGAAGTATAGTCTGTTCGCTATACTTACGCGGGTTTCGGATTAACAAAATTATGCAAATTAGTCATTGACAACCAGTTCCAATAAGCCTCTTCCCAAGAATTTAGGTAAAATTGCCCTAATAGTCAGATTTAAATTAAAATAACATTAGGGTAGGTACTAAATTTGTTACAAATATTGCAGTTGAATTGATTCTTTGCAAGTGTTGACATTGTATGTATATTGTAAATTTAGTGGAAATTTTAAAAATGCCTAGCGTGTGTTAGACGTAGATAGTCTAATTTGTAGTGTACATAAGTATTTTACGGATAAAAAAGAAAATGGCGGTCCTTTAAAATCGGTAATGTCTGTACATCAACGCGTATGCGATGCTCTAGGAATTAGTGAAACCAAATTAAGAGGAGTATTACAAAATCAAAATAGTGAACTGCCGAAAGAAGATCACCGCAAAACTCGCTCATTATTGAAAACGAAAGATATTCCAAATGGAAAGAAATTTGAAATTCGTGATACCATTTATCGAATGAGGGCCAACAAGGAAAATGTGACCTTAAATACAATTCTCTCGGAATTAATAGATAGAAAATTTTACGACATTGGCAGAACAAGTCTATGGCAAGTGATACATAACTTGGGTTTCAAATTTCAAAAGGAGGATAACAGAAAGGCCCTTTGTGAAAGAAGTTCTGTCGTGCACAAAAGAATTAACTTTCTAAGAAAATATTCTAAATTTAAAGAAGAAGGGGCGAATTTTATATATTTAGACAAAACATTGATATTTTCTAGGGGTGCAACCAAGAGAATATGGCAAGATGATAACGTAAAGTCCATCAAACATACCGATGGGGAAGGGAAGCGACACATAATTTTATATGCAAGAGGGAAATCGGGTTTTATAGAAGGTGCTGATTTAATATTTTCATCTAAATTAAAATCCAGTGACTATAAAGATAATATGAACATAGAAATGTTTTTAAAATGGTTGCATGAAAAACTTCTCCCAGGTTTAAGTGAGCCCAGCGTAATTATTTTAGACAATGCACCTTACCATTCTGAAGTATTAAACAAAAGTCCAACGAATTCTTGGACTGTTACTGATACTGATAAAATTGAAGAATGGTTGACAAAGGAACATATACCATTTCCTCAATATATATTAAAATCAGAATTATTATGCTTGGCAAATATACATGCAAAACCAAAAACCTTTGTTGTGGATCAGATTATTGAAAGTTACGGTCATCAAGTTTTACGTCTACCACAGTATCATTGCCAGTTTAATCCCATCGAATATATATGGGGAATAGCAAAACAATATTATGACATATTGGGCCTAATGGTTATAGTGACGACGCAGTTCGGGAAACTTGGCGAAAGCACTTTCAATTGCAACTCCAGAAGATTGGTGGACTTAACCATAATAACAATTAATGGTGATGACAGTGATTATGATGACAATTATGATATTTTGTATGATAATGACGGATTTTCATTTTTGTTGGCAAGTTCAATTTTTTTATTTTTCATTTGAAATTCTCTACATGAAACAAATTTTTATGTTAGAAAATATTTTGTTTGGGCTAAATAACCCTCTTATTATACATAGACCATATTTTCTGTGTGAAGTGTATTATAAAATTATTAATAGGTTTATAATAGCCACATTAGACTCCATTAATGAAGAAGTTTTAATCCGAAATCCGCGTAAGTATAGCGAACTGTATTTAATATTTCATGCAACTAACTGTGTTAACATTGTAGTTTATAAGTAGGTGGACTCTTATTCATAGTCAGAGTGGTACAAGATGGAATCACTGGATAAAGTGAGTGAAGAAGATGACATTACTAAATCAAACAAAAGAAAAAAGGTTCATTCAAAGAATATAAATCTACCAGAGAGACTCCAAAACAAACTGTTTTCTACAACAGCATAGAGCTGCCATACCACATTGCGAAATATTTGAAGAAAAAACTTACGCTTTTTCTGTAAATTTCATGCGAAATTTAATACTACTCAGCAATACGACGCCAGGGCATCAAAGTGTTCTTTTTTCAGTAATGAATACGAGCCTTATTTAACGCCACGCCAGTTAAGTTGCTATTGTTCCGACGAAATACATACAGGTGTCAATTTAAAAATGAACAGCATTTAATATTGTCACTACAAATGATAGAATGAAAATTTGGCGAAAGACGTCAATTTACTTATCAAGGAGAACAATTGTTGAGGCATTCGTTGTCATTTTACTTTCAACCCAGGGCCGACTAGAGGGGGGCAGCCGGGACAAATTCCCGGGCCCGGGCTCAAATGGGACCTGGCAAGCGGTAGAAGGGGGCCCGGCAGCGGTGGTGTTACTTTCAAGAAGTTCGACACAAGAGGGGGCAGTTCTTGCTTGAAGACCTTTTTTTAGAGAGAAATTAAAGTAAAATTTGCTTGAAGACCTTTTGTTTTGTAATTTTTATAAAAAAAATGTCGCGGGGCCCGATCTGCAGAATTATCCTGGGGCCCGGTCTGGCTCTCGGCGGCCCTGTTTCAACCACCTGAACCCAGTGCACCTACCCCTAAAATTTTAAATGGCAAACCCCTATTTCTTTTACCATTTTTGTGTAATTCTAGATAAAGTGCATTATTATTTTTTTTGTCAAAATTTAAATACCTAACCTCACAAATGTGTGAAATGTATTTAATATCTAAATGTAAATAATGCTTCTTAAAAAAGTATAATGATATACGAAAAAGTAACTGTACTACTTCATGAATTGTTGAAAATGGTTTCCATCAGTGATTCTGAAAAATATCTGAATAAATTGGGGTGTTAAGAGGGGTTAAAACATTAAAAGTCTCAATTTTTTCTAAAAATATTTCGCCATATGGCAATGACAGCTCTACGCTTTCGTAGTTTTCTATAATGCACCAAGAAAAAATAGTAAATAGTAATTGTTTAAACCAGTTTATAAGAAGAAATCAATATTTAGGTCTTAAATGAAACAGTCATATTATCAGCAAGTAATGGACGTTTTTTTAGATGATACTTTAAAAATATGGAAACAGAAAAACTACTTCAGATCGTGGATATTTGCCAAAGCAATGCTTAACAATCTTGATAAGATGGAATAAAAAAAGTTGCTGACTTTTCTTCTTTCTATATCTTGAACCAACAAGATGCGACCAAAAAAGAGAAAAAAACTGTAAAAAAAGAATGCAAAATGAGGATGAAGAGTAAGAAGAAAAAAAGGAAGAAAATAATTTTACTAATTTCTAAAACAAGAAAAATCATTGTATCTTTACAGGAAACTTCATGTTCGTTCTAATAAACGAAAGAAACATTAATATAATTAACAGTAATGCATTGATATTACTATTACTTAATTCAGAAACAATGCGGTGTTTTAAAACGGAAAATGTCTTCAAGAATGGCGAGAATGTCTGATAAAATGCTTCCTCTCTAGTTTATTACTGAGATACTTATCTGCTTAGCAAGGATTTACACAAGTATCTTAAGTTATTTTAATAATTATCGTTACAAGTTGTTGGTTTTTTTTTTGTGAACGAGAATGTTGAGAACAGTTTTTCTTAATTATTTACCTTTTCTAGCTCCAGTAGGTGAAACCGTAACACTTGAATTGCTTGTACCATCTGAAATTAAAAAATAAAAAACAATTAGTATGTGATGATTTGATTAACAGGAAATTGTTATATTGATGAGGTAATTTGGTGTATTTATCATATATATGTCATAGCGAATGATATCTATTTTTAAAATTAATAATTAGATATAGGTATATGTTTATTTCAAAATCCATTACCAATGTTTATAAGATGTAATTCATTTATTTATAATATTAATTAAGTAATTATTATACTAATTTAATTTAATTATCGACTAGATTGCTCAGGACTTTTTTATTCAAAAGATTATAAGGACTTTTTTATGAAACATTATGTAAAGACTGTTTTAGACTATACATGACAATCACTTATAGAAAATTGTTTTGTTATTAAATTTAGGAAAAAAGTTATTTTTCATAAAAAGTTAAGCATGGTTTAAAATCTAAAATGCATTTAACAAAAAATATGATTTTGTTCGGCAGTAAAGTCCTCTATTTTTGACAATATAGAAATTTTTTATAAAAATAATGTTCAAATATGTAACCATGCACAATATTTTTTATGAATAATAACTTTTTCCTAAAATGAATAATAAAAAAAAACATTGTATACATTTCTTCATAGTTTTAAAGCTAAAAGTGTGATTAATGGATTTCGCAAACCAGAATTATATATATAAAAAAAAGGAAATTAAATCTTTTCTTATTCAGATCATCTCGTGTTGATGTTTTTTGAAAAATGGCCTTACGGGATTGTGAATTTGTCGTATTTGTTGCATGTCGATTGGTCGATTGGAGCTTTTTATCCAACTATAACGGGCATTTGATTAGATATGCGTGATACAACTTAATTTTTTAAACACGACAGGGTCCCGTCTTAGGGTCAGCCACGATTTCGCTCACGATATATTCTTTGGATTACAGGGTGCGTTTAGGTTATTAAAAAAAAGAAAGAGATCTTGATTCTGAATACCTAAAGCGTGAGATCAGGATTTTTAGATTTTATTTATTCAAATTTTATTTCTTATTTTTCCGTATTTGTATAGAGAATAGAGCTAGAACTTTATTTCTGGATTTAAAATATGGAATAGAAAAAGCAAAAATTATATTATATTTTTAAGCAAAAATATGGCTCCCTATCAAATAAGAAATAATGGAAAATTATATAGATGACAACTTGAACACGGAAAAAAAATTGTAGAAAAAATTTCTACAATTGTAGATTTTTTCTCTACAATAAATAGTACATATAGGGACAGGGACAATTTGTAGTAAAAATTTCCAAATATTTGTGGAGAATGTATTGTAGAGTTATTATCTACAATATTTAGTAAAAATATCCAAATGCATCATAAGAATTGTTCTACAAATTGTTATAATTTTTGCTATTCATTGTATGAATTTATATTAAAAATGTATTGCGTTTTATGAAAATAAATACGAAAATTTTACACAATAAATAGTAAAAATTCATACAAATTGTAGTAATTTTTAATAAAATTTGTAGTAGTATTCCATAATTATTATAATTATAACCTAGAAAAAAATATTCCTTAATAAAATATTCAATTTATTGTTTTAATATAAAAGATACAAATTCTTAATTACATTATGTAATAAATAACAGTAATAATAGCGCCCTCAGTCTCAGTTGGCTTTTCTGCACCTGAAAAATATGAAATAAAAATTAATACCAATTGAACGGTTCATACCCTTAAAACGGGGATATTTATCACCTTTACACTGATTTGGATATTAAATGACTAAGTCAGATAACTAACAAAAATGAGAAAGTAGGTACGTCACAATTAAGACAAAAAAATATCATTGAACTTGGCACAAAATTCGATTGTTGGGCACAACATTCGATCGTTGGCCACAACTATTTTTTTTAAATAATCTACTAAGGTTATTTAAATTAGTTATCTAAAGGTAAATTATTCAGAAACAATATTAAATGTACTTACCACCAATAGAATTTATTATTAAAATTTTCTCAAACGCATCGGTGCTTATAATATAATAATGTGTTATAGGTACTCGTATATGTATATACCATGCTTTGTTATGTGAACATGGCGAACGGCTACTGCTGTCTGGCCGTTTATGATCGACGTCAGAAAACGTTGGCCAATAGCAGAATTTTGTTTTGTTTACATGACTAAGAATTTCTACAATATTGTAGAATATTTTTCAACAAAATTGAATGTTTATTATAAGAAGGGATGTAAAGTATTACTATTTTTTGTAGAGAAAATTTCTATTTTTTGTGGAGATAATTATTAATATTTGTACAAATTTTTACAGAAGTTAGTAGTAGTAATTACGATAATTGTAATAAATTTCTACTTCTACAAACAATAGTAAAATTTACTAAACATTGTGGACTTCTTTCCTATTGTTGTAGCATTTTATTCGACAATTCAATTGCTACAATAATTAATAGTTTTTAACTATAAATTGTAGTAAAATTTTCTACAAATTGTTAAGTATTTTTCTACAAGTCTACTACTACAACATTGTAGTAAAATTTTCTAGTCACATTTTTTTCCGTGAAGGGTGTTCTTACCTACGGCACTGACCTCAGGACCACTTTATTATTAGCACGAGATGTCAGACGTCCAGCCGCTTTATGGAACAAGGTCACGTGACCACTTTTTGCGGATTTGGTCATCTCGAAAAAAAAAACAACTCAAATCAAACTGAATATAAAATTGTATCTTTGTTTTGAGCGAAAACAAAACTAAATCAACTCTGACTTGGTTTCTTTTTTGTTTCTGGAGATTATGTTCGTCCCGTATAAATATTATACAAGGTTTTTTATTTAAATTATTAATGAGTGAAATTATAATAATTATTGAGGCTGGTTTTTCAGATTGAGAAATCAAATGTTTTTAGCTTATACCTCAAATAATACTCGAATGCTCGATAATTAGAAATAAAAAATTTTACTTTTCACCCTGGAAAAAATAAGAACATTTTCTATGAATCATATGATATGAAGACGGGTGGTCCTTCAAGGGTCTGCTCTAGGGCCACCTCTTTTTTTGGTATTGATAAATTATACAGGTACCTGAGAATACAAGGTCTAAAATATTGATGATACCTCATTATAGTCTATTTTTACAGTATGGTTCAAATGAAAGGAATAAATTCATTATAATGGAAGTAGCTGGTTTTTCGAAAAAATGCTCGGACAGGTCAATTTTGTTTACTTAAAGCGCAATTTTTTAAATAAAATTCAATTTTCCCCCACTTCCCATTTTTGGGCAGTGACGTCATTGACAATTTTTTTAAATAGCAACCTCAATTTTTTTTTCTTGATTTTGATAGATCTTGCAATTTCCTACTCGGAAACATAATATTTGAAATATCTGACATAACAATTTTTTTTGAAAAAAAGTCATTTCAAGATCAGATACATAAATTTTATGTTATTTTGAAACACAATAAATTAATAAAAGAATTATTTGTAATTAAATGCTTAATCTAACAAAATAATAATAAAAATAATTATTTATGTGTTCCGGAATATCAGAGTATGAACTCTATATAGAAACAAACACACCGTTTCGAGAAGCTACCAGAAAGAGCGGTATTTGGCCGTTGAGTCATAGAGAGGGAGTTGTCGGACATTCGAGATCGCCTAGAAACTACTGGTACAGAGCTGGCTTTGTATAAATTGCGCGAGTTTGCCGATAGAGAAGAGGATTCGATTTAAGTGTTGGATAGTAAATAAATTAGAAGTGTGAGTTGTAATTTTGCCAAAGTATTATATAAATTAATTGTAAATAAAGTGTTTTAAATAAATAAACTATAAATAAATTAAACAAACATTTTGATAATATTTTTTGAAGCATACCTCACGGGTCTGTGCTAGGACCATTATTTATTACTGTATGTTAATAATGCTTAAAAAAGTACAATTTTTCGTATTTTTAAGATAATCAAAATGATTTTGATTTTTTAACTAAATAATACTTATTTAATAGTAGGAACAGTCATTTTTGATGTAAAATAAAATAAATAGATATAAGTATAAAAAAACATTTTCTTAGCACTGCCTGTATTAAATCAAAGCTATTACAGAATCCCTATCATTAAATCAATACATAAAAGCATTTTTTCTTTCTTTTTTTTTTAAACTAAGCATGTACAATTGTACACTATATCGAAAGTGTTTTACATTCATACATATTGATCGTGACAATTCTGACCTCGATCCTCGAACGGAATTGGTCGATCGAAATACTTCAAGCTCGCCATGAGAAACTGCGATCGTTCGCGATTATGTCTATACAGAACGGGATGCAATACAGGACGTCCAAAAAGTCCAAAATAGTCAATTCAACAAATGTATAAATAAAAATACATTACTTGAAAAGAGGAGATGCCATTAATGATAATTTGATATTATATTGGAAAATTTAAGGCCATTTGAATAAATAACGATATAAAAAATAGAAAAATCTTGATGACAGGAACGAATGAAGGATCTTAGGAATTTATTCTAGTACAATTATTATATTGTCATCATTCTACACGATGTCAAAAGGGTGGCTTTAAGAAAAGAGCTGATTTACTTCAAATCCACGAGTCCGATGATTCCACATTCGATCCCTGATCGATTCACCCATTTTTTCATTATTTTTTTATCATGCAACAAATCTGGAATGTTCTTTGACCACTTTAACAATACTAACAGCTTCGTTGAGAGCGATTCTTGTTGCAGAAACATTTTGCGATAATAATTTCACTTCAGAAAAGTTCAAAAATTTGATTAGTTACAGAAAACGGATTCAGGATAATTAGTATAATTTTAAATAGGTAAATATTATCAAATCTTTTTGATGAATAAATATTTCTTCGGAATGTCGAATACGCATCATTAGAAAGTTGAGATAAACATAAACACATGGTCGGATTCTTATATTAAGAAGAAAAAAACATGTGTGTGTCAAAGCCAGAATAAAAACCGGTCAAAGTTCTACAATGACCTCGAAGATATTGGGCGAATGACATGGAAAT